CAATTATTGTTAGTTTGTTATTTTGTACATGAAATATTCGTGCCTTCAAGTAACCTATGTATCAACTGTTTTAGCAACAAGATAAAATGGTCAAAATGTTTTTTGGTCGATCTCCAAAAGTATTGCATTTCTAATATAGAGGCTTGGTGGGAAGTTTTCTGAAACATTGAAGTTACCAAATCGTGCAAAATCTCTGCGGGTACAATCATCTTTAGTCCTTGGATAGTCAAATTATAAGGCCTAAAATTCAAAATGTCCTAAATTCAACCATATCAAAGCTTCGAAAATTAGCACCAAAAAGATGCCAGTAAGCTAAACGAGCATTAGAGGTTGAAGGGTATTTTTATTCAAAGTAAACAATGGGTTATTTGCAATTTTCGTCATTTTCAACCTACCTTTATCGTTTCATTGTGACTTTTGTGGCGCTCAACTTTCCAAATTTTCACTAGGAAATGTTTCTTGGAGACTCAATTAGCATTTAGCGAACTAACATTTGTCGTAAAGAGCTAAAATCCAAGCAATAATTAAGTGGTTGTATAAAGGATTACAACAGAATACACAAGTCATCGAATTCTCGTTCGAAGCAATACAGCATTTAWAGTTTCTTCGAGCTTCAAAATTCCTGTATTTCGTGACAGAATTGCCTGTAAGCTGTTATTTAACATGAATGCTGAACTTTTGAAGGCTACAAAGTAAAAAAATATGCTTATTTTGAGAATATTTGAAAGAAAGAATTCTTGATCTAAAGTTGTTGTTCTCATTTTCAACCGCTGACCGGAAGTTTGGAAAAATGAATGAGACAGATTTCGTGGTGACCAGACAACTTCAAACATTCGGCCTTAGCAAATGTACTCACTTAGTCAATGAATCCGATTTATTACTCTGCAGCGCAGGTAAGTATAATTACAGGTATTTCATGTTCAGCCAAATATGGCACATTTTAACTCACATATTACAACATTCAATCTTATATGTGTACAATTCGCTGACCGGAAGTTTGGAAACTGATGATTTTCTCTGATTGGACCTGACAATTCGAGAGACATCCTCTCCAGTAAATGCCAAGCTTATCACGATGGTGGTTGCATATACAAATTTATTAGAATCTTCCAGTGATATGTCAAAAAATCCTGTTGCGGGTTAACTTGCAACGGCAGATCAAGGGGAGGGGTGCATGGGGATTTTGTTCCCTTTCCCCCTAGATCCCTAGATGAGCTGTTATCTACTGCATTATTGGGGTTTGAGTTTGTAAGCAAAGGGTGCACCATTCCTAAAACGAAAATCCAGGATGGTGTCTCCCCCAATAGAAAAATCCTGGATCCGCCCCTGACTTGCACGGCAATAAGCCTTTTCATAGTTTAAGAATTGATTCCACTGCGCATGCGATTTTATCCCGAATTTCTCACCTTCTTTTGTTTAATTAAGAACAAAAGAAGGTTTAGACAAAAGGTGAGAAATTCGGGATAAAATCGCATGCGCAGTGGAATGGATTCTTAAACTATGAAAAGGCTTATTATATACCAGCATGCGAAGAATTCTTGACAAGAGCGCAGTGAAAACAGAAGTGAAAGATCGTCAAGGTAGTCGGCATGCATGCTTCGAATAACTTGGGTTTTTTTTTTATTTAATACTTTATCACAAGATATACCTCCTCTTCCGCTACTAAAGACTCCGTACCTACAACTTTATTTTCACATAAACTTGTCAAAATAGAAATTCGAAACTAAATTATTAACTTTAAAGGGGGACTAACATGAAAATCCTCCGAAATTTAATTTGACTAAAACTTCAATCGAATAATCTATAAGGGTTTAATAATCACTGGTTAAATTATTTTTTTAATATATATATATTCCAATGGGAAGTATTTTATTTTTATGAATTTTCATAGGTGTCTGTGACGTCATACACTCAACACCAAACATCGCTCCATACATTTCTTTGTAAATAATTTCATGTTTTACTCTTTTTCTATTAAACACAAAGGTCCGCTGAAAACTTAACTTTCGAACTTGTGGTTAGACTGAGTATAAAACTAGCAAAAATTTTGATTACAAAATACAAAGAAATGTATGGCGCAATGTTTAGTGTTGAGTGTATGACGTCACAGACTTCTATAAAAATTGGTAAAATGTAATACTTCCCACCCAAATATCAGAAAAAAACTTTAACCAGTGATTATTAGACCTGTAAGGGTTATTCCAGTAAAGGTTTCAGCAGAATTAAAATTTGGATGATTTTCGTGCTGGTCCCCCTTTAATTATTGTAGAAAAGAATAAGGTCGATAAATGGCATAACACAAATTGAAGTCATTAACAAATGGCTGAACATGAAATACCTGTAATTATACTTACCTGCGCTGCAGAGTAATAAATCGGATTCATTGACTAAGTGAGTACATTTGCTAAGGCCGAATGTTTGAAGTTGTCTGGTCACCACGAAATCTGTCTCATTCATTTTTCCAAACTTCCGGTCAGCGGTTGAAAATGAGAACAACAACTTTAGATCAAGAATTCTTTCTTTCAAATATTCTCAAAATAAGCATATTTTTTACTTTGTAGCCTTCAAAAGTTCAGCATTCATGTTAAATAACAGCTTACAGGCAATTCTGTCACGAAATACAGGAATTTTGAAGCTCGAAGAAACTATAAATGCTGTATTGCTTCGAACGAGAATTCGATGACTTGTGTATTCTGTTGTAATCCTTTATACAACCACTTAATTATTGCTTGGA